TCTTCTACAGCCAGCAAGAAGACTAAACAGAAAACAAATCCTGCTGCAGACATTGTGATCTTCCAGCATTTTATATTTATAATCCCAGAAGTAAATATGTCCTTTTATCCCTAAAAGCTCTTGTTCGTGGGGCGTAGCACTTTGAAGACCTGCTCTTTTCTCCTGGTAGAGCTGCTTTTCTGATATATTACCTTGAAACAAATACTTTGCTCTGTTTCTGCTTCCCCTCCCACTTCCAGTCTCCACCAAATGGCAGCAGGCTTGCTGTGCCTTATACAACGGGGCCTTCACGTGCTATTGCAATGTAAATAGTGGCAGTACAGGTGCAATTGTGAGTAGAATATGGCTTTGATTATTCAGTTACAAGGTCACCTTTGGGTGGAAGGATTGCTACATAAAACATTGCTGAGCCATCAGTCTGTGGCTAGCTCCTGGTTACATAATAATGTTATATCAAATGCACTTAAAGTGTTTAAAGCTTTCCCAAAATTGCCAAGTTTGTGGTCCAGTGGAACATCACTGGTAAAATGGTCCCACACAGGTGAGTATGAACACAGAGATGCTCACAGTGCTGGGGGGTTTCTCACTCTCTCCCTGTTGTTGGCAATTTACCCCTTCCTTTTCTCAAGGTTAATTAAGCTTCTTGCCACTTTGGAGAATAAGGAACTATTGTACCTAGCTCCTTGGAGGGGGAAGACAAAGACGGCAGAAATTAAATGGCTGCTTGGAGCATAGAGGTGGAATCAGGACCAGGATGCTCTCCTTTCCCTCTCTGCATACCTAGTGATAAAATCAAAATGCTACCCCTTTAACAGCAGTGTCACTCACACGGTATGGGCTCTGTACAGCCTTTGAGAAGCAGGGAAGAGAATATCAAATGTTCCAGCCCACTTAATTTGAAAGCTGCCTATAATAAACATTTGGGAACATGTAAAACAGACAGGTCAAATTACATAGTTACATAAATATCACTGGATTTCTGGCATTTAGGAATAAAAGCTTTTCATCTATTCAGTTTAAAAGTGCCTAAAACATCCAGGCACTATGTTAAAATCTAACATTAAGTGCTTTTCTTTTTGTACTTTCCAAAAGCTTAGCTAGAGACAATTTGGACACAGGATGACAAAACTTCTCCTTAATAACATAAATATCTATACACAAGTAATTTGACATGGTACGCCATTGCAAAATATTTTATATTCACTAAAGTGACAGTCCTTATCTAGTTCTTATCCACAGAAACCCTTGAAGAAACAATCCGTTGCCCTTTAAAAGCCCCTCTCAATCCCTCACTTTCCCATCCATCTTATTTATAGCTCTGTCTTTGTAAAGAGCTCCAGGATCTACAAATAAGAAGTGCTTAAAAACCTCCCTGAGAACCAGGATTTGAAATCAGCAGCACTTATGGATGCTATGCATATGAAGGGAAGGCCTGAGTGCAACAGCCTCAGCATTCAAAATCAACCCCACATCCATGTCCTCAGCATTCAAAATCAACCCCACATCCGTGTCCTCGTCAACAACTTTGCTTTAAACCAGTGCTCACTCGACATCTGTATCAATGCACCAAAATGCCTCTTAGCCCTTCTCCCACTTATTTTCGACAGGCGTTTCACTGTGTCTATGAGCAGGGATCCTCCCTCCCTGTTTTCCCTCATTGCACAATTGGCTTTCCATGGGCCTCTTTGGCAGCTCCAGCCCTTTCGGAAAGCAGAGTTCGTTCCTCCCCTCCTCTTTCAGCCTTACATTGAGGAGGAGCTCTGTGGCAGGGACTGGAAGCAGCAGAATGTCAATGCCAGAAGTGGTCTTTCTCATGGAAATCAGGTAAGGGAGCCTGGCATTTTCTGTACAAGAATGAGAGACGTTGGTGGGTTGGTTTTTTTGCCCCCTCCCTTTCTGGAAGATTATATTTGAACCAATGAGCTCTGGCTCTTTCATGCCTTGTGGGTGCCAGATCTTTCCTCAGGACTGATTTCTCCATCTCCTCCCTCACCTACATTGTTGTGCCATCTCCTTTCGTCACATCCAATTAGTCATTATGGGCTTATCTTGGCTTTTTTTAAAATTTCATGGATAAAAATGCCAAAGAAATGTATTTGTTTTGAATTTACTCATGCTGAGGACTGTATTTTTGTCCCCCACAAACACTGATTACACCACTTGACCCCAGGGGAGAAAAGAAAGGGCTTTCCTTGCTGAACTGGGGAGCAACAGGAGAAGTGCAGAAAGGAAACACTGAGGTCAAACTGATGTATCCCTGCTCACCCATTTATTTATGCCCTTCCTAAAAGTTTGCTTTCCAAAGTCTTCCTCCTGATTTGGGCGTCGGACACTGGCCACTGCACTTTTCAGCATTAAAGTTATGAAGGTGCAAGTGCTGGTGGATATGCAGTTTATCCTTGCTGACAGGCACATCCAGCCTGGATGGTTGTCTGATACCTTAGAATAAGGTCACTCCTGGCTGCTCCTGGCTGGCCAAACTCATCCCCTTCACAGCCCTGCAAGCTGGCCACAGTCAGGCTCATGGCTTGGAGACTGGAATTAAAGGAACCCATGAAAAGGCAAATTCCAGCAGAGGTGGTACCTACCAGAACTGCTGCAAAGCCAGCAGATGGACATACGGCCTCCTGGAACAGGCTGGAGTCACCCTCACTGCCCACCACACAAGAGTTGCCTTCCACCCAAACAATCCCGCTCTGAACAGCAACCAGTTGCAGTGGTTTCACAGAATCACAGAATATTCTGAGTTGGAAGGGACCCACAAGGATCACTAAGTCCAACTCTTAAGTGAATGCCCTGTACAGGTATTAAACCCACAACCACAGCATTACCAGTCAGTAATACAACACTAAACCTACTTGGGCTGATAAGAAATAAGCCATGTCACAAATTCAGTGATAGTTAAAAATGTCTCTCTAAAATTATTTCCTTATTGAAACCCTGCCTTTAAATGAGCAAGACCCAGATCATGCATGAATTCACACTGCAGATCCTGGTCATGCCCTGATAGGATTTAAACTGGTTTTTTAATACTCTGGAAGAAAGGCATTGTGCATTTCAAAGGCAGGAAAACTGTATCCATGCCCTTTTATCCACCTTCAGGAAAGGTTTGATGAACATATCTCAGCTTGTATTTTTGATGAATATAGGACTGTATTTCTGAATGAATATTCTGGTTAAAATAATTTGAAATTTGTCACAGCTCCAAAAAAGACAGCAAGTGGCACACATAAAGTATGCAGTGTGTTCTGCATGTCGGGCAGATGAAAGGCAGTGTAATTACTAATTGATAGCGTATTTAAATATCATGCCTGTGTACTTATCTTGACTTAAAGCCTGAAATATGTAACATGCTGATAATGCACACACCTTTCATAAAACAAAGTACAAACCCAGAGTCAAACACTGACCTTCCACACGTTGCAAGCTGCACGTGCTCACAGCTGACAAGTGTTTGAAGCAAAGCATTTACACATAAAACATTTATGCACACATTGCGCACTGAGGCATTGAAATATGCAGCCTTCCATATGTTATACATATTACATATATGATTCCTACGCCAAGTATTTTGGGAAAAGAAAAAGCAATTACCCATATGTTCTCTAAACAATGGGAACGTGCTGTAAGTTGTGGCACTGGAGAGGCAGCTTGATCCCCAGGGAATACTTAAATGCCATGGGATGTGGAAGAACACTAGATGGGAAGGAGCAGGCAAACTGTGATGGCACGAGAGGGGTTTGTGTAAATGTGTGCATAGAAAAGGCAGCATTTAAATTCACAGAACAGAACCAGATAGAATCAAAGAGAACATCCTGAGTTGGAAGGGAACACCAAGGACCACGGAGTCCAACTCCTGGCCCTGCACAGCACAATCCCCAAGAGTCCCAGCATGTGCCTGAGAGCTTTGTCCAAACTCTTCTTGAACTCTCTCAGGCTTGGTGCTGTGAGAACTTTCCTGGTGAGCCTGTTCTAGTGCCCAACCACCCCCTGGGTGAAGAACCTTTTCCTGATATCCAAACTAAACCTGCACTGACACGGCTTCAGGCCATTCCCTCGGGTCCTGTTGCTGGTCACCTGAGAGGGGAGACTGGTGCTGCTCCTTGTGAGGAAGCTGCACAATGAGGTCTCCTGTCGGTATCCTCCAGGCTGAACAGAGCAAATAACCTCGGCCACATCTCATATGGCTTCTCCTCCAGACCCTTCACTACCCTCATGGCTTTCCTATGGACACTTTCTAATGGCTTAATGTCCTTATATTGTGGCACCCAAGACTGCCCCCAGCACTCGAGGTGAGGCCGCCCCAGCACAGAGCAGAGCGGGACAATCCCCTCGCCTGGCTGGCCATGCTGTCCCAGGACACGGATGTCCCTCCTGGCTGCCAGGGCACTCATGTTCAACTTGCCACCGACCAGGACCCCGCACTGCCTCTCTCCCCACAGGGAGGAGGGAAGCACTGACTCCATGAAGGACTGAGTGCTCACGCTCCCACATCCCGCGTTCCCGGGCACACCTGCCCACAGGGACACCAGGCTGTCCCCGGCATTCAAACCCTGCAGCCGACAGCAGCTCTGCTCCAGGGTTTGCTAAAAAAAAAGTAAAAAAAAATATATATATACCCCCAAGGGCCTCGTTCTGTGACTGTCTCAAAATCCTGCTTGTGCACTAGGCTGCTGTGGGGGGCAAAAAGAATATACATATACATACACATGTGTATATACACACACATATATATACACATAAATCTATAATATAAATATATGTACTATCAATATTATATATTTATTATCGGTTCCGCGCCCTGTGGGTGACTCCGGGGGGCGGGGCCAGGCCGCCCCCGGCGCGCGCTCATTGGCCGCGAGGGGCGCGCGGCCCCGCCCCTCCCGCCGGTGGGCGCGTGCGCGTGAGCGCGCGGGGTTGGAGGGCGGGGCCAGGAGAGGGCGGGGATTGGTTGCCATGGCGGTGACGTCAGAGGGTGCCGGGGACGGGCGGCGGAGACACGGAAAGGTCAAACGGGAGGCGAGGGCAGCGAGCGCGGCGGGGCCGCGGCGGCGGCAGCAGTGGGGCACGGCCGGGCACGGCCGCTCTGGGAAGCTCCGCAGCACCCGCCGGCCGGGCGACGCAGCCCCTCGGTCCCCGCCGCCTCCCCGCACAGGTACGGCAGGAGCGGCGCTCCGGGGCCGAGCTTGGGGCGGGGGACAGGCGGCGAGGAGGGTGCCGGGGCTGGGTCGGTGACCGCCTGTTGGAAGACCCCGGCGTGTGGGGTCGCGGCCGGCCGTCCCCGGCGGTGGGGGAGTTGGGAGGGGGCTCCCTGCGCTGTGCGGGGTCGGACGGGAGCCCCGCACCCTCCCGGTGTTCCCCCCGTGCCGGGGTCTTTCCCCCGCGGAGCCCCCGGCGCTGTGACCCCCGTGACCCGCCAACAGAAGATGGGTTTTTTGGTTTTTGTGGTTTTTTTTCCCTGTGGGCCTTAGGGAGCGCTGCTCCCCGCCCCGGCCCCCAGCTTTGCATAACTTGTCTCCCAGTTGCCTGTCCCTTCCTCACTGCACTTTGCCCTTGCCCGGTGGTCTGTGGCGTGAGGGAGTAAAACTATTCAAGGACTGGGTTTTGTTTCTCTAGCGAAAGAGCTGGGTCACAAACGAGACAGGCTATCTAATTTTATATATATGTATATGTATATTCCTTTTTTCCCCCACAGCAGCCCAGTGTACAAGCAGGATTCTGTGACAGTACAGAACAAGGCCCTTGGGTGTGATTTTTTTTTTAGCAAACCCTGGAGCAGAGCCGCTATTAGCATGTAGAGTTTGAATGCCACAGGCAGTCTGTTGTCTCTTCCTGCTGAAAGAATAATTTAGAGGAGCAGCAATGACTCATTAATAGAAAGTATTAGTTGCAGGAAGGCAAAACCAGGTGAAGTTTCTTACTTTACTGCAGACTTACTCTGTGACCTTGGATCAGTCTTTCTGCACCAGCCAGTCCTCTGTTTGCTTGTGAATTGGGAATAGCGGTGCTTTCCAAAAACATTCTGTGAATAAACGTACTAATGACTGTGAAATGCTTATCTGCTGTAGTAATAAAGGGTAGATAGTGATGCTATTTCTATCACAGAAGTAGAAAGGCTCTAGGCAGGATGTGAACTGTAGTAGCCACACTTTGATGGAAGTAAGAGCTTGCTTAAAAAGACATTTAATAACCTGCGATATTGTATGATTTGCACGGTGGTCATCTTGTATTTCATATTTTGATGTAGTGTGTGCTTTCAAAGAGCTGCTATTCCACACTGCAAATACTTTATGGATGGCTTTTTTTTTCCATTTCTGTTTAGAACAAACCTGTGTGGTGTCCTTTTCCACTGGTAAGGAAGCCCTGTGAATTTCTGATGTAGCAGATCATCCCTGATAGTTGACATCTCTGAACTACATGGTGCTTTTGAAAGGAAATACTAAGGGAGTGAAGGGAGTGACAATAAGTTCATTATACCTGTAATAAAAGGCAATGTTAGTTTTAGGAACGGTATTTTTCCCCTCACCTTAAAGGATGCTCTGTGTGGAAGATGAGAATACTTCAGTATTTCATAGGTAAAAACCTAAATACAGGAGTTCTGAAGCTGAAGGACTTGACTGTTGTGGTTCACACACTGCTCTGAAGTGCAGCCACTGCAATAACAAATGGAAGCAGCCAAGCACAGAGCTGGGAATTGCTGCTGCAAATCCTGACCTGAGTGAAATAAGTTTTCTCTCTTTACAGTTTTGCTTAATCCTGATTTTTGCAGCTAGATTAGTCATGGTTTTTTCTGTTTTTTAAAAATATATTGTATAAAGATACACCAGGAAGAAGCAATTCTTGCCTCATACATTGGGCATTTTTTGAAAGTAATTTGATATATAGTGTCTCACTTACTTACCTACTCAATTTAATATGAAACTTCCATAATCAGATTAACAGTAAGTAGGAAAGCTTTTGTGTTGAAGAGGAGGTAAGCACAACCCAGCTGGGTTTGCTTTGGGTTTTGTGTTTTTTCTTTTTCTTTTTTTTAATGAACCTGAAAGCTGCTCTGGTAGAATGGCAAATCATCGTTAATTCTTAATATGTAGGTGCCCTGAAAAAATCAAGTACCTGGTTTCATAGCTACCCTTAGGCATCTTTAATTTATGCAAGCAGGGCTCACTGAGTAACTACTGTAAGTCTCGTTGACCTTAGTAGGTTTGCAGAGGTCATGTTTTAAAACGGGTAAGTTGTGCTTGAACTGTTTTCTCAGTAAGTATTAGGAGCAAGTGTTTGTTTACACAATTACATGCTTTTTCCAATTCTCCATTACATTTTCTGTTTTTCTTTAGATTCTTGCTCATCTTAAAGAAAGCTCTCATTAGGAAGAAACACAGGTTTTTGAAAACAAGTTCCTTTTCAAGATGTGGCTCTAGCAGAGCAGACTGCGAGGTTTTACAAACAGCCAGAAAGGCCGGTGTTGGGTTCAGAGAAACTTGGCCAGCGCAAGCCGAACGTACACGAGTGACATCAGCATTTTCTGAGCCATTTATGCTGTTCACTTGTGCTGGTTCCCAGCAGTGCCTTGTGTCTTATGTAAGCTCACACTGTACATCCTGTCCTGCTGTTCTCATGCATGATAATTCACTGGCGTTATCTTACGGGAGGGGTTGAGAGCTGCTGCTTGTCTCAAATGTCTGCATGCAAGTTTCCTATGAGCCAGGAGCATAACAGTGTCCTAGGAGACATCTGAGGAATAACTTGGAGTGAGACACAGCTTGTCCCCTGCTCCTTTTGGTAACAGAGCTGTGACCGCTGTGAAGCCATGTGACAGAGGTTTTGCTGGACTGAAGCCTTGATCTGTATCATATGTAGATGGGCCACTAATGCAGTTTTGATGGCTGGTGACAAAACAGCCATAAAACCCAAAGGACTTCAGTGTCAACAGAAGCCTCGATAATGCTAAGACTGGAAAATAAAGGCTTTTATTACACTGCACCCTTCTTGTTACAAGGTCTTTGGGAGGAATTGTGTCTTCAGATACTGATCCTTCAGACTTGTCCTTGCAGTTAGCATTTAATCATGTGTAGTGAAACTTGATGGGTGAAATTGAAACAAACCCTCCATTATAAGCACTAAACCCAAACATTTCTTCTGTTTTTCTTGCTTGCTAAATCTAGCTGAACTTTGCTGGCATAAAATCCTGCAGTAAAGCAATGTGCATAATCTAGTTCTAAGTAAACAGTACCTTCTTTGAACAGTGTCTAATGTTTCATACTTCAGTCTCTTTTGTTAGTGCTGTAGCTGTGTGAGGGAGCCAAATTCCTGATTACCTGTCTTGGTGAATGTGGTTGTCCTTGTCTGACTCCATGGCTTGTTCGGAGCTGCTGGAAAGTTTCCTTACGAGCACTAATCTGGCACAGCCGTCTACAAGACTGTGAAATTTGTAGCTCTCTAGGGGAACCACCTAGAGAGGGAAGAAGGGTTGACCTGGAGGAGAAGTGCACCTAGAGAGGAGTGCTGATGTTCCCTGTGGAAATTACAGAAATCTTTCCTGTGACTTTCTAGAGTGACTTGCTCTGTACTGCACAAAACAGTTTCTCGTTGTAGTGGAGAAACAAGAGGAATGCAAGACTTGACAAGGGGGCTGGTTATCTAAAAAGGAGCAGGTGCAGTCCTTTGACACTGAAAAGCTGAACAGATTCCTTTAAGTAAGCTGTTCTTGCAAGTTTAAGGACATTTATTGGCAAAACATCTAAGAGAAACTTGAAATTATATTTTGATAAGGAAATTGAGTTATCATTATTACATTTATTGACCAAAGATAGGGGTGCATGGACTTTTCCTAGTGCTTTGTTATTTATGGAGGATATACAAATCTGTTTTAAAACCATATACAGGAGAATAGGCAGCAATGAAGTTATATTTTAGAGCCTTGTAGCAGCTGTAAGAATAAATATTGTAAAAAAAGCAAACTCCCCCAAAAAACCCCAAGCTTCAAAAGTACCTTCACATGGCGTGTTCAGGATACTGTTAATTATATTTTATTGTGTGACAGATACTTATGTAAATATAAAGGTCCACATATATGTTGTCATGAATCAGTACTTCTTTAGTAGATGTGGGTGAATAAAATGCGGTCTGGATGCTTAAATCTGCTAAAATATTTATAAGAAGGCTCTTGGAAAAAGTTTCCCACCGGATGCGGTGGGTGTCAGGTCTAAAGGTCAGCAGCAGAGAGAGTAAAGAGAAGGATCTTTTGCATTTATTTTTCTCCACAGTTTTCAAACAAGCATTGTGTGCAGAAGCAGAGAATCTTTCTTTCTTTCTTCCTAAATTTCTAAGTGCTAACAGGCACTTGGAGGTTTGTTCATACTTCAGCTGTTTGTTGCAAGCCTCTTTATTTAAGAGAGGGGAAAAAATCCAAAACCCTTGGTGCAGTTAATACATTCATGAACTCTTAGCACGGAAGTTCCTGGTGTAAGTCATAAAAGCCAGATGGAGTTTTAAGTGACTGTCATGTACAACTTGGGGAATGAACATTCCTGATACTAATAAAAGGGCCAGATTGGAGCTACGTAATTAATCCCAACGTCCTTTTCAGTGCATGATAAGATTTGGCTACAACAGCCATGGAGTTAGTAGAGACAACTGTCAAGTCTATGAAGCAGTGGATTGTTTGCCTAAAATAAAAATACCTGTGTGCATACTCTGTTATTACTTCTGGTGATTAGTGCTCAAATTGCAGTTTAAATGGGGAAAAAAAGAATGTGAGTAGTGGCTGACTTTGTTTTGAATCTATATCCTGTCTTAAATATGTATGTAAATGTATTAATATGTATATTTAATATGTATAATTTATCTGCATGCATATTATATATATATATACACACATGTTTTAAAAGCAAAATATAAATATATAGGGCATTTTTGAATGTTACATGGCAAAACCTTTTCTAAATTTGAGTTGATTAGAAATGTAATGCCTGGGGTGCTCCAGGAAACAATCTTAAAATGAAGTTTATTCCCTCTGTGTAGCAGTGTCCTGAAGGAAGTGTGCAGAAAAGTGCCAAAAAAAAGGCTTATGAGATGGCACAAAGTCTGTGTCAGATACAGACAGTAGGAGGAGTGGGCAGATGGCAGTCAGTACAGAACACGTGAATAATCAGATTG